CAAGCTTTAAAAACACGACTATCATTCAATGGTGACTCACAAAGTCATTCATTCACGCTTCTGAAGAATTTTAGCATTAAAAAAGACAAACACCTTTGTACAAGCTTGGTCAATTATAACAGCTACTAATAAGTCCACTACGACTTCGTTTTCAAAATATATTCGTCTTTTTTACCAACTATTTATGTCATTTTTCTTATTCTTTCAATTCTTTTTCTAATATTTTTATTGGTGTCATGGAAAGATCAATCAAGCTAGACACGACCAACAAGACACAAGTCCACAAATATGAAGGAAATTCAAAATGGGCCCAAATTGAAGGAAAAAAAAGAGTAGAAAGACCTACGGAACCGATGGACAAATAAAACCACAGGTCCAAGACTTAATCAAGTCTAAAGCATGACCAGGTTCAGAGCATGATTCAAAAACCCAATAGACCAACGGTAGCACAAGGCAACAAAGGCCAATGTCCGGCCAAGTGTTGGCACCGACCCACAGCCAACACCAACCAGGTCTCAATTGTCGACCAGTTGTCAACCCCTGAAGATGTATGGAGTGTTGTGTCGAACACATTTCAATGTTTAAGTCAACAAAGAGTTCGAATAGCAAATAAATACATCTCGCACCTCCTCTTAATTATAGAGACTATCTTTCTTGGTTGATTCAAGTGAGACCAACTCGATCCAATTCGATTGACTCGAATCTAGTTGGTTAGTTCGACTAGGGTAGTTTGACTTGAGTACTTCCCAAATTCATAATTTTAATCTACAGTAACTCAATAAGATAATCTCATTCCTAACAAGTGTTAAATGTTAATCAAAACAATCTTATAATTGAAAAAGGTTGAGCATTCAAAATAAAATTGACTGACTTTTAAATGTTAAAAATGAAATTTGGAATCGATTAAACACTGACCTTATATTTTAGAATCTTTTCCGGAGAAAAAAAAATGAAAAAGAAAGAGAAAAAAGAACATATCTCGAGGAGGAGATGAATGCAACTTTTCACCAATAATTAAAAAAGAAAAAGAAAAAGAAAAATTGTTATGTAAAGTAAAAGAAAAAAAAAAGAGCGAGTGATAAACGAAGATACGAATTCCGTCTGGTTTTCTTGGACAGTAGCGATACGAACTGCCAAATTCCAACGCAGATCGAAAGCTACGCCGTCCGATCTCAGTGATAATCACGCGATCGAAAACTTCCATCTCAAAGAATAATTTACATCAATCTTTTTGTCGCCATCGTCGCCGCCAAGAACAGAGATCAGTCCGTACACGGATGCGATTTCCTAAGCCTGACTCCTCAGCCACAGAGTCTCTGAAAAAGAATTGGAACGCGTCTATGAATTTGGATGCACCGATCGATTCTGCTCTCGTCGGCGGCGAGAGAAGGAGAATATTCCGGTGCGATTCCGATCTCCTCTGAATCGAATATCTGAGATCTGCAGATCACCGTTGCAGCGGTTATCGAGTTCATCGAAGAGACGGAAGGCTTTGCTTGTTTTGTGTGTGAGTTGTTGAAGGCTTGTACTTGTATTCTTCGTCCTTGAGCCATGTGTATTTTTATTAAATTAAGATTTTGTTTTTTTCTGCATTTCTAATTAAAATATTTTAGTTTTTGTAATTAATTTTGTGTTGTGTGTGGGGTTTTTTAGATAAATTAATTAGTAACAATTTAGACATGATTTTATCAAATTAAATTTCATATAGATTTTTCTTTTGATTTAAATTGATTTCGAAATATAGTAAAGGGAAAGATTCAATCTACACCAAATCCTGGCAAAGTGTATTTGTTTCTATCTTTCTGTTTTAATGATTGATAATCTCTTTGTGATTCTTTGAACAATAATTAATAGTGTTGTGGAGTAAAATTGAGAACTAGAGGAGACGAAGAGCTCACTCTATCAAAACGAGGAGAAAAGGCTCATGTTGAATGAGCAATGTGAATTTGAGTGTCAGAA